TGTTTTCACTTTGGGATCTGTTTTTCCCTAAAACAAAAATGAGACTTACTAGAAAAAAAAAAACAAAAAACTAAGCATTGGAAAGAGGGAAAGGCCAAGAAAAGAGGGGTGTATGTGTGTGTGTGTCTCTGTGTCTGTGTGTGTGTGTGTGTGTGTGTGTATGTGTGTGTGTGTGTAAAGGGTGAAGAAGCCCATTCCAGCCCTTATTCCACAAATACAAAGAAGGAAAGATGCTGGAACCATTTTCTCCTGGCCAGCCTGGCAGAAAAAGAAACCACTAAGCTGAAGGTACACTGGGTAGAGGGGTCAGGTCTGTTTTATACACTGTTGTATAATCAGTGCCTAATTACAGTGCTTAACAGCTGGGAAACATTTGTTGAAGAATGAAGGAATGAAGAGAGGGAGAGGAGAAGAGGGAGAGAAAGTTTCCAAATGCCAGCCAATGATGGAAAGATGAAGAGTGAAAGTTCTTCATGAGAAGAACTTTTCTAACACTAAGTAGACCAAAAAAAAAAAAAAAAAAAAAAAAAAAGAAAAAAGCTTTTTTCCCGGTACTTCTTTATAAATACTGACTTTACTAATTTAATGTGTATTCATGTACCTTTTTATTGTGCACATATGTAGGAATACTTTAGATCTGCAGGATTTCTCTTGAAAATCAGGCTTGCATTACTGATGGATTGTAACAATGTTCATCTTCTACAGGAAGTCCCTTTTTTTCTTTTACTTTTCTTTGTTCTTTGTTCTTTGTTTCTTTGGGTATGTATCTAGAGATTTCATTTTTTAAATTTGCAATTTACTAGAATTCCTTACCTTAACTATCACATGAGCTGATGGTTCAAGACTGCTGTCCTGTATCTTTTTTGGGGCGTGGGAAGGAAGCAAAGCAAATCCTCATCCTTTTAAATGTACAAGTAGGTCTTAGATTTCTTATGTTTTCACTCAATTTAAACACTGATCCTGTAAAACAAAACAGAATTTTATGAACCTCAATGTTTAATTAAACAAACATTTATTAAATCACATCTAGAGAGCAACATTTTCTCCTAATACTATAAGTATTCTTTTTTTCTTTTTCTTTTTCTTTTTTTTGAGATAAAATCTCACTGTATTGACCAGGCTGGCCTCAAACTCCTGGTCTCAAGGGATCCTCCTGCCTCAGCCTCCCAGGTAGGTGGAACTGCAGGCTCACGCAGCCGCATGTAGCTCATTTGATATTCTGTTCCTTACCAATCACACTATTAGTACTACTACTATTTAAAATCATATCATTTATTAACAACAATAATTCTCAAACCTTATGAGTAAATAAAGGAACTATTAAGTTAGTCATCAATCTGAAACTAATTTAGGGAAGAATTTTTAACAAAACATGCAAGAAAAGTAAAACAAACACAAAATCAAGATCTCTGCCAAGATCATTCCTCAGTGAGGATTTAAAAAAAAAAAAAACTAGAAAATTTATTCATATGCTTCTTAATAATTAAGATGACTTCCACAATTACAAATGAAAAAAAAAAACAAAAAACTTAGGAACATCGGGAGTAAGCAAGCTATGACCTTGACGACTAAGGGTTAGATGTACACATTAGCTGAACGTTCTAGAAGTTCAAGTGCTATCACCTGTTAGTGAATGTTCAGAAGACAGTGCATATATATGTTGTATCAGCAAAAAGTTTCTTTATAGTCATTAGAAAAATGCTAAGTCAACTTTACTGAAAAGGGACTTTTTGTCCCTTCTCTATTCTCATCTTTGTTCTATTTTGCTTGACATGACATTAAAAAAAAGATCAAAATCAGATAAGGTGGGAAAGTTGTGAAGCATTGAGTAAGATTTTTTTTTTAAATAAGGAGAAGAAACAAGCCAGGTCCTTTTACCAATGAAACATCCAAGGTCTATTTAGAAATGTAAATGTTTTAGCATATTTGAGTGAGACAGTGGGAGTGTTGAGATTGATACCACTGAAAGCAGCAGACTACTGTATAAAATGTTGACTACAGTTACTAACAAAGTATTCTATTCTTGAAATTCACTGAGAGTAGATGTCAATTGTACTCACCACGAAAAAGATAAGTATGTGAAGTAACGCATATGTTAATTAGCATGATCCAGCCATTCTACAATGTATACATATTTCAAAACACTATGTTGTATACCATAACTATATATAGTTTTATTTGTCAATTAAAATATAACTTGCTTTTTAAGAGACAAGGTCTCACTTTGTTGCCCAGGTTGGAGTGCAGTGACTGGACCACAGCTGTCTGTAACCTGAAATTCCAGGGCTCAAGTCATCCTCCTACTTCAGCCTCCCAAGTAGCAAGGACTACAAGCATGTGCCACCACGTCTAGCTAAGTTTGAAAAATTTTGTAGAAACCAAGTCTTCTTGTATTCCCTAGGCTCATTCTAACACCTGGATTCAAGTGATCCTCCAGCCTTGGCCTGTCAAAGCACTGGGATTACAGGTGTGAGCCATCGTACTGAGCCTAAAATATAACATTAAAAAAAAAAATGAAAGCAACAGAATTAGACGAGCTCACAGTATTTTCCCACCACTATTATTTAAGGAAATTTTTTTCCCAATGAAAAGATTCTTAAGAATTCTCTTTAATAGATAGCTTCTAAAAGTGAGCATTATATGAAAGCTAAGCCATTATTGAAATTCTATTGTTGAAATTAAAACAAGAGATTTGTAATTTAAAAGTTAGTACTTCATTATGAGATTTTACCCTTTTTTTGCCTTGGTTGCATAGAAAGTTCTCCGAAAACAGACAAGCTTGCCCAGAGGAAGAACTCAGGTTCAAGTTTCCAAAGTGGGTAGTGAACTTAAAATTCTGAAAAATATTATAGAACTAAGAAAAAATTAAATGTATTATTTGATGAATGCTTTTATGTGATGATTGACAAGTTAGCATCCAGGCTCCACTGACCAATATTTATGGGAAAAGAGTGGAGGAGACAGGGAATTCTGGCAGCTTGTGCCTGCTATTTATGTACTGTCCAGCTTAGCAGGAGAGAGAGGAAGGACTGGGCTGCATTAAAAAACATCCTCTGGGCCGGCTCACTGGGCTTGCTTTGAACTCTTGTTCATCATTATTTTATGCTGCAGCTTGTCTTTGTGTTGGTGGAAGGGAAAAGAAAAACACAAGAGACTAGTCTTTAGTTTCTAAATCAAAGCTGTGCTTTGCTGACTGCTGGAGTGGCTTTTCAAAAGCAAAGCAAGTGGGGACATTAAAATTCCTTGCTTCTGTGAAACAGGAACTGAGTTGGGTTTTTTTTTTTTTCTTCTTCTTCTTCTTAATTCTCAGATGAAAAAGAGTATGTTTCAATATGTCTTACATTTACCTTGAAACAATCTCAGTATTTTTTTTTTTCAATTTGACTGGCACTTAGAGAAGATAAAGCAAAGCGAAAAAACACTGAGGAACCTGCAGAGGTTTGAAGGAAGGGCAGTCATTATCACTGAATTTAAGAAACAGAAGAATATGTAAATTTTACTAATATTGCCCCTTACACATCCTTTCTTGATAGTGACACCGGGGTCCAAAGATGTTAAGTCAGTTGCCTAAGACCCAGACCCAGAAACTCAGGACTAGACCCTCTTCTGTGCTTCTGGGGAGTCCCATTCGCCCTCTTTACACTGCCCTATGCTGCCTCTAGCGTTAGCCCAAGAAACTGTAAGGAGGGGCTGTGAGAGGAGAAGGCAAAAGCTGGAGAGGGTCATAGATTCTTGCCTAAGAAGGCAAGAAGCGACCTCCCTGAGTGAAGATGCTTAAGCATTTGACTTTACTAAGAGTAGCAGCCTGCTCGTTCCAGGGCTTGAACGCGCCTATTAGCTGCCGCTGAGTATCTAGGATCCTTTTTTTTTCTACTTTGGAAGATCAATCTAAGGTAGAAAGTTAATCGCTTTCTCGCCCTCCACGCCTTCTACACTGATGGAAGCGACCGTCCTCCCTCGAACATTTCGTGGGCTTGTTCTTTGCAACACACTTGCTCTGGGTCTTAGGTGTCCTTTTAAACCCTCTCTTCCCTCTTTATTCCCAAATCTTTATCTTTGGCTTTCTTAAGCTGTAAAGACACACTGGCACCTTAGGTGGTCAGGGAAGGTCGCTGGATTCCTTCTTTCGGCGAAAGTCCAGAGGACCGTTCCTGCCACTGTCCCCATATTTAGACACACTAGTGAGAACCTCAAGGATCATTTACGGAGAGAAAGGGGTGCATTCTGCGGCTGCTGGCGGGAAGCTAGAGAACGTGGCGGGGGCAGCGCATCTGGCCCCTTGGCCGAGGCGCGGACTGGGAACAGCCCGCACGCGTCCGCTGCCGCCTGCCCCGCGACGACTGGCACAATCACCCACCAGGAGTCGGTCGGTGCCGCGGGTGGGCGAAGGCAGCGCCGCTGGCCGGGAGAGCGGCGCTGGCTGCGTGAAAGGCGTCTTTGTGCAAGACTGAGTGTGGTGGGGGGAAGGCGAAGAGAGAACTGGGCCGGGAACTGGACGCGGGGGTCTGGGGCGCCCCTACGCCCCCAGCCGTCAGCTGTGCAGGAAGGAGCGGGGTAGCGCCGGCAGGGGGCAGTGTGGCGATAGAAGAGTTGCTGGGGGCGGGGGTCTCCTTTCGCCTCTATTTGAGGTTGGAGTGGGGAGAAAGCAGCCTGGAGGAAGCTGGTGGGGTGCGGGGGACTGAGGGATTGGGCTCCCCGCCCTCTCGCCTAGGTGGCGGAGAAATCGCGCTAGCTGGAAGGGCGCAGCTCCTCTCCGAGAGCTCATTCCGGAGTCGCAGAGCTGGGAGCGCGGCCCCCGAGGCGGAGCCTCCCTCCCGCCCCGAGTCCCGCTGCCCCCACCTGGGGGAGAGGGGCGGGCGCCGCGCTGCCTTCCCTCCGCGCCTGGGCCGCGTGGCTTGCGGCTTATTTTCCCAGCTGGCAAGCGTCGTGCTGCAGACAAGGGAATGCCTGTGGTGAGTTGTTTATTTTGCTGAAGTTTGCGGTGGGCCCGGGGGACGTGGGGGGCGAGCGGCAGGCAGCAGCCGGGACTGTTTTGTTTAGGTCTCCATCCACCTGTGTGGTATAAATCTTCCAGCCTCAGGGCGGCGGGGGGCCGGGGTGAGAAAGCCCTGACGTTCCCAAAAGCCCCTTTTCGCCACTTACAGATCTAGGACCACATTTGATTTTCCACGCCTGGAACCGGCTAGATCCTAGTTTACGCTTCCCCACCCTCCAGCCCCCCATCAACGCTTCCAGCACCCGCTGTGTGCAGGGCTGGTGCTCCGCAGAGCAATCAGCGCCCACGACCCAGGGACAGCTGGCCACCGAAGTCCCTCCCCAGCGCCCTTTCCTGTTCCCTTGAAAACAGGGGAGCTGAGGGTTTAATGTGAAGGGCGCCCATGAAATTCGTGGGAACTTGTTCTGGCTTCTTCTGGCGTGGAGTTCTTTCAGGGGTGTCGGGTCTGCCGGGGACTACAAAATGGGATCCTGAGTTGGCTGGAGTTGCCCAGACTAGGCTGCAGAGAGGTCAGCTGTTGGCTCGCGGGAGAGCCCGAAGGAACCCCTTGAGCTGATGGCAGTCAAGACCGGCGGCTGCGTTTGCCTGGAAGAAAAGCCTAAATACATTAGCGAGCTGGTAAAGCTTTTAAGGCCTTCTTGGGAGCGAGTGGCTGGCTAATGAGAGGTTAATTTTGTTTCGAAGGGAAGGCTGCACTGGTTTCCTGAGATAAATGGACAGGAAGCGCATTACCTCCGCGCGCTGGCAAGCGGCTCCCAAATGCTTTTTGCACCTGCCGTTTTGAGCGGTGAGAGCAGCAGCCGAGCCCGCAGGGATTGCGGGGGCCCGTTGCGTACGAGCGGGTGATGAGCCCCTCACAGGCCCCAGGCTCTCTCTCTCCGGGGGTGCATTGCTCACACCAAGCTCTGGGATTCTTCTCTCACGCCCAGGTCCTGCGTGTTCCGAAGTCCGGGGGCCCCCTGATCCCTCTGAGCCCCCTCCAGGAGCGGAAGGGTTAAGAATGATGTAAGTACAGGCACTTGGTTTCTCAAGTCGCCCGCTTGGCCCTCTTCCAAGTTGTACTTTCCTTCTTTTCTCTCCTTTCCTTTCCTTCCTTTCTTTCCTTACTATTCTAAAGCTTTTTAATAAACTTTCACTCCTGCTATGAAAAAAAAATGATGTAAGTACAAACCACGAGCTGCTTGACGCTGCGCTGTCGGACTCCAAGCTATTTCAGCCGCTGCTTTGTATACATAGTAGACGGGGGAGCGGCCAGGGAGCCCTTACTCTAGAATGGATTGCGCAAACGGAAACCTAGGTGATCTGCTAAGCAGGCAGAGATCCTCCTGTTAGATTTCTGGAAATAGAGACATATTAACTAGAGAACAGTTAAAACATCATGTATAGGTTCAGGAAATGAAACCGCATCTTGTTTAGAATCCATTAGTGTTTCTGGCATGTGTTTTAATTCTGTCCACTTGCACATTCATACCATGGTGTATGCTTTGCTGAATCCCCTGAATGTACTGTTCAGGTCTCCTCTTTCTCTTTCCTTCCTGAAAACAAAGAGGAAGGGAGAAAGAGCACCAGTGGCAAGAAACATGGTGGATGTGTGAGTTACACAAGTCATCAGTCACTTCATTCTTTTTATCTGATTAAAACATAAAACTTTTATAACTCATCGATTTTATGTTTGTGTTGTAGCACCCTCCCCGATTTTTCTTTGGAGAATCTAAAATCCTTTGTAACTTGCAGTTCACGGGCTTGAGGAGTGGCAGTGCTATAAGCGACCATTCACTATGCTCTTGCTTTCCAAGCCGATTTCTGATCTTTCTAACAGTACCAATTTACCCGCGAGTTGTCAACTGACCTATGTCTTGAAAATAGGAACCACTATGTGGTATAATTGTGAAAATTAGCATTTTCCTCTAGCGTCTGAACACTTATGCAGCAATAAAAAGTGAATTGTTAGGCTTATAAATCTCGAGCTTGTCAAATTTTACAACAGAGGAGCAATAAAGCACCTTAGAGAAGATGAAGTTTTTCCTCTGAAGAACAGTTGTTTCACACCACCAGGATTTGCAATGACTCGAGGACGCCCTCTATTGATACGGAAATCTAGAGCACCCGTGTACTTACAGAACAGGATATGGGGGGAGGGGAGTGAAAAAAAAATCATATAAAGTCACGATCGGAAAGACCCAAACCAAACTGAAATTTTTGATCCTTAACTATTGGTTATATGTTTTGAAATATGGTCAATACGGTGAGATGCTTCTTTTATAGGGCCTTGGGTTAAGAGGAAAAAAACATTTTAGTCTTTGTTAGCCAAATACTTTGAAAATCAGCGTTATATTTCATTACGTTTTAAAGCTACTTCTTAGTATATTATGAATTATATCTTATTAATTATATGAAGCAATCGCAAGATGGTAAATTTTTGCTCTAATAATATTTAGTCCGCAGCATTATCTAAAAATGTCATGTACCTTCCTCCCCAAAAGTCATTTCTCCAGGCAACTGTGAAGCTATTATTAAGCATATTATGGATATACACAAGGCTTGGATTATATCGTGGGTAGTGAAAGGTGTGTTTACCCCTTGAGTCATCATAGTATGTAATAAGTAAGTAATGAAAAGTTACAGTAAAAACGGATAGGCATCCTTGATTAGGGATCTAGTGGTTTGAGCAATTCACAATGTGTCTGAGTAAGCTGGTGAGATCGAAGGTTTGCCCCTCAATTATCCTAGTCCATTGATTAGTACATTTAAACATGTATGGAATATCAACATGTCTGTGGTTGATATGAAATTCCTAATTAGAGATTCTGAGTAATGTAGCGGGTAGAGTTGCCAGGAACGATTTGGGTGTTAGTGGATTTTAAATGGCAGCCGAGCTGTTTGGGGGAACAGCTAAGGCCAGGGCAGTATCAAGTGTCTCTCAGCCTTGAGGTCATTCTTGAGATTAGATACCACTTCACACCTACTGATAACAAATTGGACTCTATCATCAATCTCACGACTGCTTTTGTCTCCACTTGGCAGCCTCTTTCTGGGCAGACAATTGTCTTTTTCCTCACTTTTGGGCCCATCCGATCTTAAAAGGAGAAAGTGACCTGCCATTGAATTAATCTGTAGAAATTTGTGGAAAACTGAATTAATCTGTAGAAATTTGTGGAAAAGCCACTGAGCAACAAGAAATCGTGGCATAGTTACACTGCATAAAAACGCACCACTTTCATTAATTACACTGTAACAGAACGTTGAAGTCTGCCCACTCTTAGACCTCTCCTTTGCGGCTTTCAGGAAGGGAAATGTCAAAAAAACTAGAACACCTGAGCCTCGCGCAGCTGCCAGCAAATTACTCCTGGAGTTCGCAGGTACCTTCCCAGCCCGTCCTATCTGTCCCGGACCGCGGGTGACATTCAGATTTCCAACACCGCCCGAGCTTACTTTACCAGACTCCCGCAAGCTGCTCGGAACGCGGTTCTGCAGATGTGATTGGCTGAAAGGTGACCGGCCGCGCGGCACTCTGTAAAAGCGCCAGCTTCCTCCAAGGAGGTGGAGCTGAAGCTGGCAGGGCCAGGGCCGGGAGGAGGGGTGATTAAATTAAAAAAAAAAAAAAAAAAAAGTCCGATCACAATAATTCAAGGAGAGGTCAAAGGCCGGTACCTTTGTAATGCCGGCAAGAGTGAGCGACAGTCGCCCATTTCTATTGAGCGCAAGGAAACAGTAAATCGCGGAAGAGGGCAGACGGGAGAGGAAAGGGAGCACGAGGAAGGTTGCGGCGCAGGCAGTCGATGGACCCGGAACTCGAATTACACTAAGTGGGCGGGGCGCCGGGCCCTCTGGGTCCTGCGATTGGCAGGCTGAGCCAGGCGGACATGCAACCCCAGCCAATGGAGAGGAAGGGAGGGGCGCGGCGGGGGGAGGGTGGTCATGGCAGCGCGGATAGGCGGGCACAGGGCGGGGCGGGGCGGGACGGCAGTGCGGGACTGAGATTGATTGACCGCGGCAACCGCCGCGCAGATATCCGGGCCGCCAGCGGGCTGCTTGCTAGGGCTGCGCGAGCTGCTCGGCGGTCCACGCCCGCCGAACCCACGCTGGCTGTGGCTGGGGTCCCCGCTCGCTCAGGACTCGTCTCAGCAGTCGCTCACGGTCTTTGTGTCTTCTCTTCTGCCCTTTCCCTCCCCGCCGCCACGATGCCCCTGCGCCCCGTTGCTGCCGCCGCCGACTGGCTGCGCCCGCGGCGCACTGCTTGCTGCGGCGGTGGTGGCGGCCCATCTGCTACACTGGCCTAAAGGAGGAAGAAGAGGAAGCGAGGCGCGCCCCTCGGCCCATGCAGCAGCCACGGGCCCAGACCCGCCACGGCGCCCGCGCCGTCGCCCTCGCCGGAGCCCACGAGACCTGCATGGACTGGCATGGGCTTGAGAGCAGCACCTTCCTGCGCCGCCGCCGCCGAGGTTGAGCAGCGCCGCCGCCCCGGGCTCTGCCCGCCGCCGCTGGAGCTGCTGTTGCTGCTACTACTCAGCCTCGGGCTGCTCCACGCAGGTAGGACGGGAGCGCGCGAGGGGAGCCAGCCCCGGGGCCGAGGGCTTTGTTCCCAAACAGCCCCAGGTCTCGAAGGCGCTCGCCGGGGCGGAAGGGCGGCATGGCGCAACGGGAAAGGCGTCCCGAGCCCGTGACACGCACCTCACCTCAGCCAGGCTCCCGGCGACAGGAACGCAGTGGCCCACCTGGCGGCCGCCGGGCGCGGAGACGAGCCCTCTCCCCACCCTCCGCGCCTTCGGCTCGGACCGCTGACAAATCTCCCGTCCAACAGCCGCTTATCAAACGTTTAGCGGGCGGGGGCCGCGCGCCCGAGACAAATGTTCCGGATGTTTTATTGCTCTCAGCGCTGGTGTTTACTAAAAGTCAGGCTCGGATCAGGTTTCCGCCGCCGCAGCCGCCTTGGAGGGAGACAAGGAGCCTTGTGCTGCTTTTCTGGAGTTGGGGGTGGCGGCGAGGCCAAGGACGCGCACCAGATGGAAAAATTTTCACCAGAGTTTGCAAACCTGGGAGTTAATCTCGAAGTAACGTCAACTTTTTCGACCAGGGACTTCTTTAGTTTTGGCAAAAGCTGCTTTTAATTCAGCGGTCAGCCTCCTGGAAAAGCTCGTGCTTTGTGGCTAGCCGGGTGTCTTTGGGCTCCGTGAGGGGTTGACAGATAACCACGCTGCCTTCTGGAGGTCGGCGCTGCCCCAGCCTCGAGGAATGTGTTCTTAGGGAAGTAAGCCTGCAGATGACCCTTCCTACCATGTGATATCTATTTTTCTTTAAAAAAAAAAAAAAAAAGCGTTTCATGAAAATCCAGGACGCTCTTCACACTATTTTCTTTTAGTAGTTTGCCTAGACAAAGAATTTTCCTAATGCTAAGGTTGAAAGGGAAAGTGTCTTTTAGCCTTGAGAACGGAGCATTAGATAAGTTTCTTTTCCTTCAAGAGCTTTTTGTCCTGTATATGACACTTTACAATGTTCTGATCTGGAGAATCCTGAACTTCAATGCCATCCAACTGTGCGGAGTAATTTTTACTTATTTATTAAACCACACCCGCAGAGCTAAAAATCAGGGAGGTCTTTTAAGTAATGGCTGGGGGGAAATGTGGCATTTGAGAGGACTTCATTTACATGGCGTAGCTTTGCATTGTGACGTAATAGCTGCTTTTTAACACCATCAATTAGGGAAAAGACTGATGACTTAATAAAAAAAGGGTAATAGAAAGTTTTAGAATGATTACAGCTTTCGATTAGTAACTTAACCTTAGAAAATAGTGTCAAACTGCATGTAGTTACGTGGAAGATTTTTCTTGACATATTACAAGATATATTCAGGAGTGTTTTGTGTGAAAAATTTGTGTCCATAATACCAAAATGTACGTTTCATGAAATGGAAATTGTGCTAGGGGGACTCTGTCCCCTTTGGCTGCTTGAATATTGTTTCCCATAGTTGCCATAGGATCCTGTGACAGGATTGGAATGTGATCCTCAAAGATTTCTTTGCTGGCGTGTGAAAGGCATACGAAGTTGGCTTAAAGGCTTAGAAAAGTAGGGTGTCTTAGTTGAAGAATTTGGAATGTGAAGCTCTTAGTATCTTCATGTGTCCTCGTTTAAGTCACCGTTAGATTCAACCTAACATAATGTGGTGAGTGATTTCTATGGACAACTTGTTGAAGTAATTTATCTGGTTAAGGAAAAGAACGCTACTTTTGAGAGATTTCTTTGAAGAGTGGTGCTACTTAAATGCCCGGGGTGTTTCTCAGAGAAGGGAGCCTAGCAAGAGAGCGAGTGCTCTTTGCAGATGGACCACTGTATGTTTTATGCCTGGATCCTTATCATTTGCCTTAGCACCCCATATGGCTCCACATTTCACTTAATTCAGCTTCAGCATATCTCATTTCCTTTATTACACACTGGCGATGTGCTGCAAATTCACACATGTAGTCCTGGTGTTAAGGAAACTGTCTTGAATGGTGAGGTCTTTATGTCTGATTCATTTAAAAATGATAAAATGAAAGCTCTAGACCCACAAATGTTGAAAATGCTGTCACATTGCATGGATGGTCTGTCCCAAAAATAGAGAAAGCTGTAACTAAAGAGTGAAGAGTTTGAATTCTGCCCTTGGAGGAGTATAAAAAGAGTACTTTTAGTTGCACTTTAAAGAGTACTTTTTTTTTTTTTTTTTTTTTTAGCAAACCTCTGCAATTCCTGAATGGAGATCCAATATGGGGGTTACTTGCTTACTCATACACTTCATGGCCTTTTTGGCTACATCCTTGAGATTGTTTCTGCTCCACATTGTCTTGGCATTTTGACAGGAGGTTTACTTTACTGCCTATAACAGGCAAAGTGTGCATTGTCATTATAAATTCATGAAGCCTGGGTATTTCTGGGTGTATGCTACAAATTAGTCATTATACAGGAGCCCGAAATGAAGCTGAAAATGCTGACCCAAACGTACTTTCTCTCTAGCCCTCTTCCCTCCCCTCATCTCTGTAGCAAAAGGCTGTTGAAGGCCTTATCCAAAGCAAAAGAAAAAAAACCTAAGGCGATCTGTTTGATTTGAGATTTCTTTAAGCAGTCAACACCAACCTGCTATGAAAAAGGGGAAGGTTTGGGGGATAATGAGGAAGGTATGAAAAGGGAGCTGGGAATCTAAATTCTGCTTTTATTCCCTTCTGAACAATTCCATCTGCATTTCCATACTGTTCTTACTTTTGATATTTTATGACTATTTGAAATAATTAAAAATAAACATATGCTTGGACAGATTTTATAGACCATAAAAAGAACAAATAGGCACTGCAAGTTTAGCGGGAAGTTCTTGTGCTGTCATTTATATGCAGTCTGCAGTCTTAAGAGCTCTTCATTACTGAGATCTTGGCCCTGTCTTTATTTTCTTGCTTTCCATGTATCTGATTGTAAAAGAAAAAAAAAAATATGGTAGGTACTTAAGTCTTTTTTTAGCCATCAAGTACTGTCATTAGAGTTAGGAAATAAAAGGAGACATGACCTGTGATGGAAGAACAACAAGTTTTGAGGGAAGGCACCACGTTCTGGCTTAATAATGCTAGCTGTTTTATGATTCCGCCAGAACGGGCCTTTTAATATCCCTTTGCATTGGTTTTTCCATCTGCAAAATGGCTTTAATGCCTTTTGGAGTTGTTTAGTTGGCTGATTTCTGTTTTGGTTTGATTTAGATTCTAGTAAAAAAAAAAAATAGCTGAAAGTGACTTGATCTGCTTTGGAAAGAGGAATTCTGTAAATACTGGAGCTACTTTTGTCAGCTTTGGAATGAGCAAACCAAATAGATTACACACAAAGATGTGTTTGTAACTTTTTTGAAAGTATGATTTGATGATTGCTGTAAATCCATAGCTCCAATGTATTAAAATGTTTTCATCTTTTACTTAGGTTAAAGTGAATATCAAGCCTAGACTACATAATTTTCCCATTTTGGTTTTTCAAATTTAAAAATGGTGGCAGAGTTGTCTTCAGAAGTTGTCTCTTTCCAAACCTGTTTCTTCCAGCTAAAGCTAGAAACAGATTACAGGCTAATAAATTCATATTTAAGAGCAGTTTGCTACTGAAAATATTAAAATAGCTTTCTAAGACAATATTAGGCTTACTTTTAAAAAAGTCTTTATCAGATGGCGTTCCCTGAACCTTGATATCATCCTAAAGTTTATCACATCCACATCTTGAAATAATTATATATTTGATAATAATCTACTGATGCTGAATTTTTTCCTCTATCCAGAATACAAATTATATTTGCTGTCTAAAAGGATCACAAAGTTCATCTTAGAGTGACTTCCTCATTTCTCTGATGAGAACCCTAAGACTTAGAGATTAAGAGACATTCTCCGTAGTTTAAAGACCTATAAAGAATTTTATGTGACACAAATATGTATTACAGTTCATTTATAGAAAATTTGCAGTTGATGATAAAGAACAGTGTCTCTTTTGAATAAGTCTGTTGTTTCCATTTTATGGAACAGAATATTAAATTATTTGGGGCACACAACTGACCTAGTATTGGCAGTTCTTGTGCTTTTTGTGCTTTAGAAGATTGTATAAGTTTTTGTTTGAGAACCTAATGTTAAAAAGCATCATTTGGAAATGGATTTTTTTAAACTAATAGTACAGTAATACTTTGCTTTTTCATAATGTTTGTATCACTTGTTTTTATTTAGTGTGCTTTTACTTGTGATCTGCTTGGGAGCTGGGCTTCTAGGGTAATGGAGATACAGATGTTAAGGAAAAAGTAAATATTTTTCCTTCTTAGAGCATTTACATTTTGTTGAAATTAGGAAATTGTGCCAGTTTATTTACAGTTTCTTGGTAAACATGCCTCAGGAGAAGTAGAATGACAGTACTTGGATTTTTTTTTCTTGATGTTCTTATTCTGTAGCCATACAGGTAAATCAAGTAAAGATGTTTTAACTAATTATACTATAATTTAGGATTTTATACCTTCCTGAGATGTGGAGTTTTGAACCATGGTTTTGTGCTTAGTGCTGCTTTTACAATGCTTTATGAAGCAAACTATGCAATTTTGGAAATCAAAACAATGTTCATGTTTTTGGCATAACCTTAGAGTAGAGAAATCTTCCAAAACCTATAAACAAATAGCAATAATGATAAAATATTTTATTGACTATTCTCTTATAATCTCAACCTATAAACACTGGACTAGGCTCATGTTCACTCACAGTGGCTCAAGCATTAATGTTTTAAGTTAACTAATTACATGCAGTTTTTCTTCCAGTGGCTTAATTTGAAAGAGACAGGAGCACAATGAAACCCTATTTCTGAAGGCTTCTTAAAATAGGAGTACAGTATGTAAAATAGAACAAACAGTTCCCAAAGGACAGTGTCATTTTCTCATGTAGCTCAGGAAGTTATGAAGAGTTTACAAATGTTTGGTCTTGTCTTCTTTCCTATAGGTGACTGCCAGCAGCCAACCCAATGTCGAATTCAGAAATGTACCACAGACTTTGTGTCCCTAACTTCTCACCTGAACTCTGCCACTGACAGCTTTGACTCTGAGTTTTGCAAGGCCCTGCGTGCCTATGCTGGCTGCACCCAGCGAACTTCAAAAGCCTGCCGTGGCAACCTGGTATACCATTCTGCCGTGTTGGGTATCAGTGACCTCATGAGCCAGAGGAATTGTTCCAAGGATGGACCCACATCCTCTACCAACCCCGAAGTGACCCATGATCCTTGCAACTATCATAGCCATGCTGGAGTCAGGGAACACAGGAGGGGGGACCAGAACCCTCCCAATTACCTTTTTTGTGGCTTGTTTGGAGATCCTCACCTCAGAACTTTCAAGGATCACTTCCAGACATGCAAAGTGGAAGGGGCCTGGCCACTCATAGATAATAATTATCTTTCAGTTCAAGTGACAAATGTGCCTGTGGTCCCTGGATCCAGTGCTACTGCTACAAATAAGGCAAGTATACTTTCTTTTTTCCCTCTCCCTACTCAATTTTCAGATGTTTGATTCTTCAGATAACTTTTGAAATGTGCTATAAAGGGATTAGTTTAAAAGAAACTTCTTTTTGGAGAACAATTAACAGTTGACAAAGGGTTAAGTAAAAATTATTTAGTAAGGAATTTCTCACTGGAATGTAAACGTAGTTCTAATTTTAAGTAGACAGTGATATGAAGAATAAAAAGTAAACAGTAAAATTGAGTTCTCCAGGGAAAAGTCATGCCTGTCTAACAAAAAAAAATATATGCTTTTTTTCAATGATGTCTTTTTTTGAGTGCATATGTATGTGACTCTTCTTGAAGAAATCCATGTTCAGATTTATCAGATGATTGAAGTGCATGTTCTGAATAAAGAAAGCTGTGAGGCCTGAGGCAGTGACCTATCAGGAAATATATTTTATTGGATGTTTGGAAGCTGTAGTAAAACAAAATGGCAATAAGCCAACTTCCCAGTGGTAAACCCACAGTGGTGTTTTAGTTACTAACCTCTTAATGACCAAGGAGGTTAAGAATTAGATACTGCAGAGCATCAGTATGTAACCTGTGTGTAATGCCAGGGCCTCAGGTTAACAGTTTCAGTCAGAAGCTAAGGGAAATACTGACAAAATTAAGTTTACCATGCCTAGCTGCCACTTTCTGTGGTCTCTGTTCATTTGTTTCAAAGAAACTAATACTGTACAGAGATCTTTGAAACCAACTTCAAGCCACCAGTGTTTAGTGCAAGTAGGTAGAGAGGACCTATGAACTGGGTTTCTAATTGGCAGTCAGTGCTAATTCAACCAGTAGTAAGTAAAGTCAAAAGGGTTTTCCACTAAACTAGTGTCCCAACTAACCACCTCCTTCCCTGTCTTCCCCAACCACAAAACCACGCACGTAGACCTTCTCTTCTTGCTTTATTTCCTGCATTTATTGTATCTCTTCAAAAATTGGTTTAGATTTTTTAAATGTAATTGACAAGGCTCAAGCTTTTGAAATACTTATGACTGTTCTCTTGATTCCAGGACGCCCTCCCTTGCGTCCAAACATGTGTGGCATACTTTTTAAATGAATTGAAGTTATTTTACTTGGCAGTTGTGGGGGAAATTTTACAACACCTTGGGAGATATCTGGAGACACCCTGGGGTGTCACAAATTTAAGATTAGAAGTCATTGCCCTAAACAAAGACTACTGTTACACTGGTCTAGACATCTTAGGGGAACTCCAAAATGTTTATACTTCAACTCTCAGTAAAAGCTCAAGCTTGCCTTTTGCCTCACCTAATTCTGCATCTCAAAATAAACTTTTCTCTCTCTGGTTTTTGTATGTATGCAAATCATTTTTTCTGTAAATATCTCAGAATATGTATTTGCTATAAGTTATATATAAAGTTACAGAATTATGAACTCATAAGAGAAACATGGCCCCAAATCCATCATTGCTGCGGAGTCATATGGCACATGAAACCTGGGAATAGTCTTTGGGTAACTGAAAGAAGGCAGTCCATTGAGAATGGAAAAAGTCATCAGTTGTGCAAATAATTGAGGGCTTGGCAGAGTAACCTTCAAACAGAACTACAGAGATTAATCAGAGCTTGTACGTGGGAAGATGCTGGTTCTCTTCACAAGAACTAGTATTCAAATTTTATTCTCCATGCCTTCCATCCAGTCGTGTCACTTCTGTTTGTTATTCAGTCTTTCAAAATTCTGTTGTTACTGATTATGGTGAAAATATGTGGGGATAACCTTATGAATATTGCTATTATATAAATGGAACAGTTTACACTGAAGTATTTAAGATAATTTTATTTCAGTTGAATGTGATGTAATTTTTAACAAATAAATTAAAAGTACAATCTTGTTTTCTCCCTCAGTTTGGAATAAGGATCAAAGGTTTTATCCATTCGAAAAAAGTTGGAGAAAGTGGTCCTCTGACATAAATTCAAGTAGATGATGAGAATGCTTGGTCTTTAATTGCACAATTGGAAAGTATTTTTCCACATCTGGTGACCATGCTGTCCAGCAACAAACTACTCTGTAGCTTCATTTCATGACCTCTAGGAGTTGTTGGGTTTGGCTCCCCATCCCCCTTCTTTTTTTTAACTCTCTCCAAAGCCTCATAAGCATCTGGAAGGTTACTCTTGAAGACCTGTCCCAATTCTAGTATGACCTGTGCTGGTGAAACCAAAGAAAAGCCTAAAATCTTGCCATACAATTCCCTTTTACTCACCCAGGGCAAAATAAAATCTTTAAAAACCTTAAGCACAAAAAAGTGGTGGTAATAAAAATAAAAACAATAAGAGGCACAAAGTGCTTATAAAATAAGTTCTAAACAAGATCTGAAATTTTCCCTTGATGTCTACCACAATACTTTCTTTAAAAAATGTTTGGAAAAACTTTTTCATAGTAATCCCAGCTTTACTGAGAACTTAAGCACGTGCATAGACCAGTTATTGGGTAACCTAGTACTGTGCCTTGTAGGTAGATACCAGACCATCCTTGTGTGGTCAAGCATTTTTAATGACCCACGTGTTCAGTGCTTCTAGATTGAGAGACTGGCTGATGATGTCATTGGTTAGCTGACCAGCTGTGATACTGAAATTTTTGTAAACATCCATTCATTCCACTACCTTTAACACTGCACTGAAGCACTAGACCCTAGGGTATTTTGCTCAATGAGGCTCAGTCCTGGGAACCTGGCCTCTTGAGCAAGCCATCTTCAACTCCAACTTTGTGAGCTCTGCCTGCTCCTAAGTACCACCCTTTTTCCTGATCATGAAAAGAGAAAGTGGGGGGAAAATCTAAACACCATAAAATAAAATGAAGTCATCTGGGGCCATATATTAGCTAAGCCCTTTCTTTCTTTCTGCATGGCAAGCAATGAGTTGAAGGCAGACAGGCCTGCGGTGCTCAGTGATATTCCCTCATCTTCCCTGTCTACTGTTTTTTCCCCACCATGGCCCCCTCCTCCACTCCCCTGGGAAAGGTAGGGCTTGTTTTCCAGTTGGTCATGGCGTGCACAGGTATGCTTTTTTAAGGCCTCTGTGTTTTTAGTTTTGCCCTCTGCTGGCCTCCCTCTCTTGGGAGGAGCCTGTGGCAGTTGGCTACCTTGCCAGGTAGGTGTGTTTCTGAAGGGGAAGCCAGAGCTGGTTTTTCATCTCTCCACCCCGGAGGCCGCAGGGGTGTCTGGCACACAGACACACCTCGGCTGACGTCCACATCAGCTCTGGGCCATCTTTCCCACCTTTGGCTGTGAGAGGCGGCTGCAGGCATGCAGGCACTCAGAATGAGATGAGAGGGATAGGCTCTGAACTGGCAGAGTTAGCTACACTGAGAAGAAAGGTAGCTTTTGTTTTGCAGAAGGAGGTAGCCCACCCTTCACAGGCTCCAGAGAGAGCACGTGTCAGTAGTAGTCCTGTGCCTCACACACTCAAGAGAAACCAGATCGTCTGTGAGGATGCTTGACTTCTTCCATGTTATTTTTGCAAACTCTCAGTCTCACTCTTGTTTTGTTCATTCTATGGATCTTCGTATCTCTGTTTAAGTGGGTTCAATAAGAATCTATATGCCATGATCACAGAAGGTGATTGGGGGTTAAATTCTTTTTTTTATGAAAGATTCTGCACTTTGCAAATGTATTCCCAGTAGCATACATTAAAATTGCCAGTCTCCACGGAATTCAAAATTAGTCCTTTTTCAAAAACAGTTCAGAAATTCAGTTAAGTGGCACACCTAAACAATGGAAATGTTTTTAGTAATTATTTTTGTACAAGTAGTTTGAATGCCTTCACTTTATTTTTCCTCTTGTTTTAACGTGATTTTTTTCCTTTTTCACCACTCTTGCTTGCTTATTTTAACCTTCCACCTTAGTAACACAAAATAAAAAGTAAGAGTAGAGACTGAGGGTGACAACAGGTCCTATTGCAGAACTTTTGCTACACATTTTACTGTGCCTCACCCTTGAGTGAGAGAAGGTGGTTTACCTTAAGGCATTTTAATTTGAGAAAGGGTTGTGCTCATTGTACTTGACCAAGCCTGATGACTGTTGGCCAGTTGGACGGATGATCTGAGGTGCCTATCTTGTATGTTTTTGGTGCTGCCAAGGTCTCCTGGTAATCCTATGGGCAGCACTCACCACCTGTCCAAAGCATAGTAGCATACCCTGCCCATCAGGTATATGGATACAGTCTAAATTCCAAACTTACCCCTGAATTTAAAATTCTGTTGCTACTTTCTTGGGACTTCTTCAAAATTTTGGGACTTCTCTAGTATCACTGGTTGATGATACTAGAGATGTAGAAAGACTTAGTTTGATTTGCTCTTGATTAATGTCTTCTTCAAACTCTGTAACCCACAGTTTTCCACTGTAAGAAACACCATTACCTTGTAGGCTTCTAGAGCATGAGGTAGGTCTCCTGCTTTCTGGTGCCCCTTAGCATGTAGGTACTGTTCCACAACAGCATGTGGGCATGTAAACCAGTGTTCTGGGTCATTCTTTGTTGCTTACAAAATCAGAACCAGACATGCCTTGCATTGCAAAGGCTTTCAGCTGTCATATTAAGTATATCTCTGCATAAAGTTTTGGAAATCTGTCCTCTGTTGACCCCAGACCTAGTACATTTATTGTAGCCAAGTTTTTGCAAGCCATTATGTTTTTAGCATCTTTATGGAAACCATGTGAGGCACATAGTGGTTACCATTATTTTCTGGACTAAGGGATTTGCTCCTTCCATTGATAGGTCTGTGTTTTGAATCTAGGGATACCGTTCTTGCATGCAGTGTTACAAAGAGGGGGATGCATGGTATATTTTTGCGGGGAATATAGACCATTTTCCCTTTACAAGGAAACCACAACTGTCTTGGTGATACATTGTAACTAATCTTTATAATCTGAGATTGCTCTTTTTTTGGTTACGATTATATTGTTGCATTGGTAATTCCTGCCACCCCTTTGAGATTTGTTCCTTATTGTGATCCTTCTTG